GCCCATGCAGAATTCTCCTTTATAATCCAAACTGACTCCTTTCAGGAAGGTGGTGCTTGTGTGTTTCCTGAGGTTTTTTTGCAGCTGTGTCTGTAGGAGGGCTACACTGCCCTGCCTGTCTCAGAGCTTTCCAGCCCTGCTGATTTATAAGACATCCTTATGAGTAACTGGTGTAGGCTTGGGCTGAAATGCACAGTTAACATGTCTCTTCTGTGGCAAGACATCCTAAATCAAATCCTTTGCCCCTGTGGTGTTGTTGCATTAGGGATGGTTGAATCAAGTGACACAGATTTTTATGTTAGAAGGTAAATGTGAAGTTTATTATACATCACATTCTTTTTATAGACAGCTCTGATTGGTCCTCAATTAACACTGCTCACATTTTTGGCTAATGAGGAGTGACACTCTTCTTGGACACATCTTACAAATAAACAAGTAAGTGCAACAACACACCTGGGTTTGATGTGGCACACAGACTTGAAGCCTGTGCTTAAATGGATGCATAATGAATACTTATTCAGATGTCATAAAAAAACAAACCCAGAAACTGAGTCACAGATGTACCCAGTGTAGTGCAGGCTGGTAGGAACAACACTCTTCCTGTGCACATGTACTGTACACATACAGTGTACTTACAGTGGCTGATTAGGAACAACGCTCTTTTTGTGCACATCTTACAAGTTTAAAAACACCAGCTGCAAAGATTAAGGATTATTTTAATTCTTTCTCTGAGCTTTCTCAAAACTCCCCAGAACAATGCCTGGGGAAGTTGATCTGACTTTCTCTCTGGCCAGACTGTCAGCATCCACACCCCTGCCCGTGTGAGAGGCCCAAGGATCTCCTCTTGTGTGAGTTCCTGAATTCAGCTCCCACTCCCTTGCTGGTCAAACCCCCTGGTATGGTGTGTGGTGCTCATTCTTGCTTATTTCATCTCTCACTTGGAAGGCCAGGGTGGGGTTTGCTGTCAGCCCGGGATGGAGCAGTGCCTGGGCTGCTGTGTGCACAGCTGGCAGGGCAAGGGGCAGCACTCACCCCCTGTCCTGCACTCATCCACCTTTGGAGGAGCTGTGCGTTTGGGGAAGGGGCTGCTGAATGCCGCCTGAGCCAAATCAGAGCCTGGATAATGCTGTCCTTTCGGGCAGTGTGGGAGGAAATGCATCTTTTGTAGGAGCCCCCACATTTTGTAAATCTGAGGTTTGTACCTGGGGGACTCTTTAAATGAGAGCCACTGGTGGTAAGGGCAGTTTAGTGAAGTATTTATCTGATAAACAAGGTTCTTGTAGAAGTGTATGAAGGTTACATTGTCCCTTCTGATTCCTGGGCCCTTGTCATAAATGCATTAAATGTGACAGATCTTACATTAATGTCGTGATCTCACAAAGCAGTCATTGCTCAACTGCCTGATGGGATTTCATTCTGGGTCTTAGGAGCTTTTTAAAATCCAGCCACGTGCCTGATTTTCTAAGGTGCAACATATCTTAGTTGTTTTCTATGTCCTGATTACTGTATTAATCCTTATATATAAACATTTAAATTATTCTGAAATATCTTTTACTGCATCTTTTTGTGAGCATGCTGTTCCAAATGCAGTAATCAAATAATCTGTGAAGTGTTTCAGTCTGCCATGTCAAGAAAAGTGATAAGAACCAAAGTGTTGGTGGTGATGGAGAGTGTCAGAGTTAGCTGGATGCACTGTGTTTGCAGCAAAGGTAAAGAACAAGTTGAATTTCTTAGGTACGTGCTCTGATTCAGCAGAATGGTGGTGGACATAAATAATTGTGAGTAATTACAATTATTGTTATGACTAATTATGATTATTAGGACCTAAATAATTATTTTATTTTATTTTATTTTATTTTATTTTATTTTATTTTATTTTATTTTATTTTATTTTTTTATCTTCTTGAACTGCAGGAAGGGTCAGCTGCAGAACTGCCACAGAGGTTTTAGCAATGCCAGTGTGCAGCCCCCAGCTGCTGGTTTGTGAGTAGATCAGAAGGAAGGGTGAAAGTGGAAAAGGAAGAAAGTAGATCAGAAGGAAGGGTGGTGCTCACAGCCCAGGGTGTCATCAGAGCTGCGAGAGGGCCCTCAGAGTCCAATCCTCTGGGGGTGCAGTGGGAAAGGAGCTCTCATATTGCTGATTGCCAGGCTGCAGCTGTGGGTGGAAGGAAAACGTGAGCCTTTAGGAGTGGCAGTAACACCAGTTTTATTGAGTTTTATTGAAGGACTGTTCTGAGTATGATAAATGGATGGACTGAACACAATCACCTGCAGTATCTCTCTTGGAAATGATTATTAGGAAAGCACTACTGAAGGAGAGAAAGAAGCTAAGACGCAGAAAAAAGGTTACTTGGCAACATCATGGCGTTTGTAAAGAAGAGAAAGAAGGGTCAGGGACTTAATGAATTTTGATTGTAGAATTTTCTGTAAGTCATGGCATGAATTGAAAAATCCCAAACCAGGTTTCAGTGTCATACACTAATGCAGAACAGGGTTTGTTTGGAAGTTGCAGAGAAGAGCAAAGCCTGGCTGCTGTGTACAAACAAAATTGGGCTCCCCAGGGCAGGCAGTGCTGGTTTAGCTCAAGCAGAGATGTTCTGAACAGTTTCTGTGCTGATGATGAAAGCTGGTGTTCATTTCTTGTGCTGTCTGGAGTAAACAGGCTGGGGAGTAGGGAAATGTTGATTTGGGGACCCACATATTTTGGAAGAAAGGCACCATGTAGGAAAGCACAGATTGCAGTTCTGCCCAGCTTGCCAGTGCAATTTCAATGGGTAAATTAATTTTTCTCTGGAGTAATAACTTTGTTGATTTCAGACCCTTGCTGAGAAAAAAAAAAAAGAAAATCCATTGATTGTTGGATTTTTCTCCCGGATTTCTGCATTGGTAATCAGTTTCATGGCTTAGGTAATTGTACCTGGTGCTTTGGGTGGAACAGGAGGTACAATACCAAACCCCAGGAAGAGTCATCCACCACATTCTCTGCTCTCCAGTCCAGCTGGCACTAGAATCTGTTTTTAAAGTAAGCATCATCTTGGAGAGCCTGACTTTTGCAAATTAAATCAGTGGCCCGTGTCAATGAGGTATGGTGCTTTGATGGTAAATACAGCTTGATTGGAAAGACCTAATTATGGCACCTAGGGAAAGTCAGTCTAACAAATATCTCACCCCTTCTGCTGCCCCACTAATATTTTAGCTGTGAATAGTCTAAGAAATAGAATAAATAATTGATATATTATATATATAGCATGTATTATATATATATTGTATATATCAATGTAATATACTATATATAATAGCTAACAAATATAATTAATACAATATAATTTAAAATTCTAACAAAATTAAATTCTAACTCAGTAAGATCTTGTTAGTAAGTGCATTCACAGGGGCAGTTTTGCACTGGGGACCAGGACATATCCATATGGAGTCTGATTTCTGGAGCCACTGTTTTAATAAAACTCCTTGGGGCAGGGAACTGATTTGCACCCTGCAGGCTGCTCCTGGTCTTTCTCACCTGCGCAGGGAGCTGAAGTTCAAGGCACTGGCAGAGGCTTTCACACAGTTCAGTGTACAGTAAAAACTAAATGCTAATTTACCTTACAGTTCACTAAACAAAAGCAATACTTCAAAAGTCAGGATTTTCTCAAGGTCTGTGCTTTATTTTCTGTTACTGGCCATACATCTCATCATAGCTGTGGGGATTTAGGACAAACAGATTCACAGTGATGTCTACTGGTGTTTGTTTTCAGTGGAGAGCACAACTAATAAAACCTGTTTAACTTTATTTTTACTTTCAGGCACCGATTTTTGAATGCCTGTTGTGCCAGTTTGTCCAAATAAGTCTTAGAACAGCATAATTTTTGGATGCTTTAAAGTAGCTGGAGCTTGGTTTCACTAGCCTGATAATTTGAGATGTAAGTGGACTGTTATTCTGACATAACTCCTAAATACCTCAACATTTCCAGCTGAAGCTAAGCTCTAACCATGATCAAAGTGGCACATCAATGGAATGAGCTGAAGTTTTGTGGAATTGGGATGGGATTTTCTGTGGCACTAATCCAGATGCTGTGCTATTCAATTGTTGAGCAAATCGAATTATGGTAACTCTGCAGAGAAATAATTGCAATTCCAAAGTAGGCAATGGGTTGCCTCTTGTATTTAAGTTATTCTGTTACAAATTAGAGCTTCTAACCACTAATGCATAAAGCATTTCGATTACCTATTATTTTTCCTCTATTGTGCTTAAAAAAAAAATCACTAAAAACCAAATGACCAGATTTCCTTGATGTGTCACATGTAGTTGATAAGATCAAATTACCAAATACAGCTTGCAAATAATCAATTGAACTAAATTTTTAGCATTGTTGGCTATAGAAAAAAAAAGTTTTATACATGATTGCTTAGTGTGCTAGCACATCAGTTGCTGACTTTACAGATTCTGGGATGATGAGCTCAGGATTTTGTATGAGTTTAGGAAGCTGTCACTAGACTTTGTTCTGCAGTTTCCAGCCTCCATCAAAGCACTCCTGAATGCACCTTATTGTGTGTAAACAAATGCTCTGTGCTGAGAACCTGTGCCCTTGAACAAAATCAGCTGCTGAGCTCAGGTGAGAGCCCGTTCCTGGCCCACCTGTGAGCCCTGTTATCCCATGGCCCCGTGCCTGTCCACATGTAAGGCACAGCACATAAAACACTTGAATTCAAAGCCTCCTAAATCCATTTTTCCCCATGTCTAAACACACTTTAGTACCACAGAGTGGCTGTATCTTGTGTGTATTTAATCTTCCTCTCCTCACCAGGTAAGTTTTTAGCAGCGCTGTGATTCCTCCTGGGTTTTTGGCAGAGCGTGGCGTGTGTCCGTGGATGCGTGGCTGCTGTCCTGGAGGGAGATGTGTGCTGATACTGTGGTACTGCAGCTGATGCCTGCAATAATGCACGGTTTGAACCTTGAGGGTTTGCACCTTGTGACTGTGACGGGATCTTTGTGTCTGCTCCAGGGTGGACCCCATCCCCTATGACACTCCAAAGCCAGCGGGCCACACGCGCTTCGTCTGCGTCTCAGACACGCACTCCAGAACAGATGGCATCCAGATGCCCTACGGGGACATCCTGCTCCACACGGGCGACTTCACCGAGCTGGGACTGCCCTCCGAGGTTAAGAAGTTTAATGACTGGTTAGGTAAGGAATTACTGCCTTTCGGTGACCCCAATTAACCTCTCCTGTCCCAGTGTCACTCACTGCCTGCTAATTGAATTAGGGCGCTGGAGAAGCTCCCCCCGCCCTCGCTCCGCTTGTCCTCGTGTCACGTGCTGCTTCTGGCCTCACTTGTTAATAACCATAATAATAATAATAATAATAATTCTGTTAATTAAGACAAATTCAGAGACTTGGCTGCATTTCTGCATTACCCTGGGGAAAAGATTCATTGCACAACAAGAGCTGTGCAGCCCCCTGGGAGTGCTGAGGAGGTGGTGGCACCTCATGCAAAGGATGCAGTGTCCCCTTAGCTGGTGCTGGGGGGATTTGTGTGCACTGCAGAAACTGCTGCTCGCTGTGGTTTGGGTTTGCTGGAAGTTACAGTGTATTGGAAATGATCCAAGTCCTTCTTCTCAGGTGGCAGAATCAATAATGCTGTTTGGAAGAGAATTATTTTAGTAATATAATAATATAATAACATATATATTTAATTATATTTTAATATATATAAAGATATAATGTTTATCTATATTTATATAATTTTTATATATTCATATTTATATATGAATATATTTATATATTTTATATATTTATATAGAAATAGATATAAATAATATCTATATATAATATAGGAATATAACAATACTCTCTATACATATAATGTTAACATATAATACTCTACATTCTATATTATCTATTATAACCATATACTATAAGAGAATATTAATATGTAAACTATAACACACAATATATGTAATATAATAGATAAAATATATAATATATATAATATTTTGAGAATTTTTTGGGGGGTGATATTCACATGTTTGCCCCTTTGATTTGGAGTACTGGCATTTTATCTTTGAGCATGGGCAGTCACCATCTCTTTGGTAGAATACTGTCTCTAGGGAGAGAAAAAAAAGATTTTTCTATTTCTGTTTTTAGATTTCTACCTCTATTCCCAGAAATAAAGATCATTTTAAAGATAGATAATGAAAACTTACCTTTGAACCACTCATCTTTAAAACAGTACCCCATAAGTTAATATAGCCCATAAATACAACTGTAAAAAAAGCTTACAAAAAATAGAAGAAATGTCACAATTACAAATTTCCCAAGTGGCTACTATTCATGAAAAGAAACACAAAAAACCTATTTTCTTATAGAGAAGTCTCCATAACATTAACAAAAAAGACTTATCTCCCTAAGTAAACTAAAGAAAGATTATTCTAAAAGTAGTAAACTAACTAAAATTTTAGGTTTTGTTTCTTTACATTATCAGTAAGAAAGGAAAGGCTATAGAAAAATGAGAAGTGTCCTAAAAGTTTTGTTCTAATTTTTATTACTTTTTCATTTCGTTACTATTAATGAATTTCTCTTTATGTCCTTTTAAAGTTCTAAGCCTGCTTTACCTTTCCCCTAGTCCTACCTCACAACAAGAAATAAGAGAGTACATCCCAGTGAATGCACTGGTGATGAGCCAGCACTAAACTCACCACACTCATTAGTACATTAACCAAAAAAAAAATCCCAAATTAACTAACCAGACCCACAACAAATGCCTTCCATATCCTGCTGTATTGACAGCAGTGCCCTGACAGCCTGTTGCTGGAATTGATTAAATTAAATTGATTAAATTAAATAGGAAAAACAGAGAACCAAAGGGAAGGAGGGGAACTGTTGCTGTAAATGCCACTGGCAGGCTGGTTGTGCACTGCCAGCTCCCCTCTTGCTCTAGAAATACCCAGAGCTGAAGGTGACTTGAGCAGCTGATTTTCTAAAAAGCATCAGAATGGATTTACAGGTTTATGTAAAAGGTATTTCGAAGCATAGCTCTGTCAGGTTTTACTGCAGTCTCTCCTGCCTGCTGTGTGATGGCAGCATCTTTACACATTTTATCCTGTGTGTATCTCACCTCTTTTATCATATGCAGCACCTCTACATAATTTTATTGCATTGGAGTTCCTTGGCTGAACCCTTCAAGAGATATGTAAGGGACACTTGGTTTTACAAAAGGAACGTTTTAAATAGAAGAACTTCTACATTGTCTGTCTTGTCATCCTTCTTTGCGTTTTCCTCATACTCTTCTTTTTACCTGACCTCCTGTGATTTCCAAAACCCTATTTGAATGGGTGTTCTTCCTTCTTTTTTTTATTGCTGTGCACATATTCTAACCATACCACTGCAACTTAGCTGTATTGTTCTTAGTTCTAGAAAGTGGTGCTAGATTTGATAGGCTCAAAACTATCCTTTTTCTGTGTGTAATTGCAGCTCCAGAGGAGGAATTGCCTCTTGGAGAGCACAGATCTCCCTTGAGTGCATTGCTGAGAGCAGTCTCTGGCCACCTGAGTTCCTCTTTGGCCCCAGAGTGATTTCACAAATTTCACAAATGCTGTTTAGGTGCAGCTGGAGCCTGTGGCCAGTGCTTGGCATTTGAAAACACTCAGGGCTGCAGAAAGCCAGCCCAAATAATCTGCCAGGGTGCTTTCACCCTCCCATGGGAATCCTGCAGTGCTGGCAGCCACTTGGCATTCCTTGCATCTAACAGGGGGTTCATGATGATGTTATTTTAGCACACAGGTCCTTGGCTTAACATTCCCCACAGAATTCCAACCCTTTGGATAGGTGTGTTCCAGCCTCAGTAATTTACCAGGGGGCTTTCTTAGCATATAAGCATAGTTCATGTAGAAGACACTGTAGTGTTGATCTGAAAAAGCAGATTTTGCAGGCAGTTTCACTGAACTGGAAGCTCTGACTGTGTGAGGGCCTGCTGGCTTTGGGCTCAGGTTTTCATAGTTCAGATACAAAGAAAATATTTTTTTACATGCTGAGAGTCCACTTGCATTTCTCATATGTATACACACACACATATAAAATTGTATATACATACACACACATATATTTGTGTATATAAATATATATGTGTATATACACACAAATATACGTATACACACAAATATATACATATACACATATATATATGTATATATGTATGTACACAGTCACATATATATAAGTATGTGTGTGTGTATATATATATATAAATATATATATGTGAATGACAATACCAGTTATTAGGTTCCTGGCACAGGGCAAGCCAGCAAATTGCTTCACCTGCAAATTGCTTCATTTTTGCTTCAAGAGTCAAAACACCAAGATCAGCCATGTCCTTTTGCCTCTCTTTTCAGACTCCTGTCTCCAAAATGTGTTAATTGTGCTTTACAATTTATTATGTTATTATTTACTGTGTGTATTGTGAAGATTTAATGCCTTCAGGGATATGAGGTGATGATGTCCTGTGGTTAAAAAAAATACATACCAGGAGCCAGCAGGATTCCTTTTGCTTCCTCAGTAGCACCTTTTTTCACCATAGTCGGTAGCAACCTTGATCCAGAGCTGAACACTGCGAATCAAATGCAAGGTGGTCCTTACAGAAAAATGTTTTGCTGTCTTTTGTGGCTCTGATTTTCTCCACTGGCAGCTATGTTGTGAAGCTGCAGTGAAGACAAGGCATCTGGTCATTTATGTCATGAGGGAGAGAAGCCAGAACAAAGCTGGGTTTCATTCTGTAGCCTATCTTACCCACTCGGTGCTAAAAACCAGGTCTTGCCTCCATACTAAAACACAATTAACTGTCCATCATTTTTCCTGGCAGTGAAGCCAAGGGGAAGCTGAGAGATGATTATTCTGAGCTCCTGCCTTGCTTGTCCTTCACTGGGCGTTACATATCCCAGTTTTACAGGGCTGAGAGCACTGCTTAAAGCCCTGCTGGTTTACATTTTTAGAGTCTTGCATCCCTTTGCCACAATTTGGGTCTTTTACCTGGGAGAAACGTTCAGCATTTTGCCTGGCCATTTCACCAACCCTCATCCTTCTCCCTTGCCTCCATGGCCAAGCCATGGAGCCTGCCTTCCACACTCCCTTTCCCCTTCTCCCAAGTTCTCAGCCCTTTCAGCAACTTCTGCTAGTTAAATGCTTTTTCCCTTTGGCTGTTACATTTTCATTATTGGTTTTGCGTGGAAGTCAGCTGGGCTTATACATTGAATAACCTCTGTGGTCACTTAGTGATTGCATACACTGGCTGAGGTAATTTATTCACTTTGTTTTGGTGTGAACATGTCCCTTGGGTCTTGTAACTGCTGTAATCACTTGACCTTAGGGACTGTTAAATGCTTTAAACACAGTTATTTTAAATTTATAATTGTTTTCATTAAAAATCTCTTATACTAACTTAACTAATTTTGCAGTAAACACAGCATTACGTGCTGAGGGAGAAGTGAGATGTTATTCTGTGCCAAATGTATTTTTTACTGAATGTTTCAACTTGCTATTATTATCTCTGTTCATATTTTTCCCATCCATTCTCATTCAGTCATATATGTGAAATGAAATAGAAGAATATCTAATTATAGCTCTGTCTTCATAGTGCAATATTTCCTTTTCTGGGTGATGGGAAGTGATTGAATAACCCATAAGAATTGAAGAGAAAGCAAAGATAAATTCAGGCAGATAGATCTTTAATGAGTTGATATGTTTATTTTGCTCAGTTACTGTGGGCCTGATTGTGCATATCTTTGCTTGTGCGAATAATTTGAATTCAGTTCAGAATTTTTTCTCAAATAGCCCATTTTGTACTTTTTTGTTTAGTCTTTATATCACACTGTGTTCATTTTTTTGGTTCTGGTTTGCTTGTTTTTCCCCCATGCAAGGTTTCTGTTATAAAGTATGTTACTGCACGAGCTTGGCAAAATCTTGGATAAATTCAATAGGTGATCTTACTCCTGGTCATTGTCTGTGGGGCTGAAAGTTGAATTTAGCTAGGTTTTTCCTGAGTTGTTCTAGGATTTAGCAACTTCACTCTTTGATGTTTTTTAATTCTTGCCTTTGCTCTGAATGTTTATTTCTTTTAATTTCTTTGGGACAATGACTGTAAACACTTTGTGAATGATTTAGTGGCCAAATACATGTGGGTTTGTACTGGAGCA